TTATTTACTATTTCCCTAAGTTCATTGAACATCCTTAAACCAGTGTTTTGAACTCTGCATCTGGTAGATTGTTTGTCTCCATTTTATTTAGCTCTTTTTCTGGAGCTTTGTTCTGTTCTTCTATGTGGGATATGTTTCTCTGTCTTCCCATTTTGGCTGCCTTCCTGCATTTGTTTCTATATATTAGGTAGGGCTCCTAAGTCTCCTGGTCTTAGTAGAGTGTCTTTATGTAGTAGGTGTCCTGAGGGCCCCAGTGGCACAGTCTTCCCTGGTCACCTGAGCCAGGTGCTCAAGGTGTGTCCTTTGTGTGGGTGGTGTGTGCCCTCCTGCTGTAGTTGAGCCTTGGCTGCTATTTTCACTTCAGTGGGAAGGATTGAACTTTGAGCTGATTGGTTGCAAGGACTGACTAGTGAGAGGCTGATCCTATGGAGCAGGACTCACTTTAGCAGGGTTTTAGTGCCTGCCTACTCTGCTTTTGGGGGTGTCCTCCTCAGAAGCAGCCCTGGGTGGTGCTTTGGCTCTGGCTGCAATTCAAGCAGGCTACTGGACATGTTGGCCCAAAGGCCTCCTGGGAGGGGACCAGCATCATGCCAAGTTCAGCAGTAGTCTGTGCACTTACAGAGCCACCTGGTAAGGGTCACTAAGCAATCTGTAGTTGGATGTTATCTGTGCTGGGCTAATAGGTGCCCCAAAAGGCCAAGCCGGGACTGAGGCTGGCTGCCGCTAGTGCCAGGCTTGGGGCTGCTCAGCAAGAGGTGTGGAGTATGTGGAGGTCAGATGCTGTTTCTTTGGGTTTTGCGAGCCTTTGAGAGGTTTTAGGAAAGCCTGTGGCATGAGCCAAGACAGGCCATTTGTATGGACTAAACCATTGGAGACAGCTTGGGTGGGCCAGCAAGTTGAGAGAGGCAGAGTCTCAGGGAATTACCTTGGTGGAGTGTCCTGTGTTAACCAGGTTGATGGAGACTCAGATATGGATACCACCTGCTTCCACACCCTGGGAGGGCTCAACCAAGGAACAATGGATACTGCCAGCACTTCTGTCCAGGAGAAAGCCACCCTCCCAGCCCTCACCCTGAAGCCTGACCACTGTCTTTCCGTATGTTCCTGGCACTCCTTGAGCAGTTGCTCTAGTACTGGTGCTCAGAGTGAGTGAGTCCATCAATGAGTAAGTCTGGGTGTGGGCCCTTTAAGAGGAACACCTGCGACTCCTGCAGGCCTTCACCTGACTAAGTCACAATCTCCACTGGTTTTCACAGCTAGAAGTTATGAGGATTTGTCTTCCCATCACTGGAATCCTGGGCTGGGGAGCCCAGTGTGGGGCCAGGACCAGTCACTCCTCAGAGAGAGCAGGGAACTCTGCAGCCAAGATAACCCTCCCCATTCTTGACTGCCACATGCAGATGTGGGACTAGGCCATTTCGCATCTCAGCCTCGAGGTGACCGCTTATGTATGTCCCCAGTTGTATGATTTCTGTTCAGCTAGACCTCAAGAGACTCCCAATGATGGTTGCTCTGTAGTTTCATTATAATTTTGGTGCAGCAGCATCTACCTTCTATGCCTTTTTGTCCGGTGCTTCCATGGTCACTTTTAACTTAATACTGTTTGAGTCCTGAAGAAAGAACATTAGAGAATTATCTGTGGCAGTGATTTTCAACCTGCTGTTCATGAAATATGCTGGCTCACCACATTTCTAGTCCTAAATAGGGTGACTAACTCATCCAAGTTTGGGGCATTCCTTTTTTTATCACTAAGTCCCACATGCCAGGAAATCTCTCAGTCCCAGGCAAACTGGCATGATTGGTCATACTAGTATGTCTAGTAACCATCTGTCACTGTAAAGTTATTATGATATTATTGACTATATTACTTATGCTGTACCTTCCATCCCTGTGATTTATTTTATAGCTAGAAGTTTGTATCACTTATTCCCCTTCACCTTTTTCACTCATCCCCTATCCCTTCCTCTCTGGCAACTATCACTTTCTTTTCTTTATCTATGAATCTGTTTCTGTTTTGTTTTGTTTGTTCATTTCTTTTTTTTTTTAAGTCCACATATAAGTGAAATCATATGATATTTGTCTTTCTCTGCCTGACTTATTTAGCATAATACCCTCTGGGTCCATCTATGTTGCAAATGGTAAGAATTCATTCTTTTTTATTGCTGAGTAATATTCTATTATGTATGTGTGTGTGCATGTGTGTATACACACACACACACACACACATCACATCTTCTTTATCCAATAAATAAAGCATCAATAGAATATTGCAGTTTTTTAAGCAGCTTGATTTGTCACAGATGACGATGACCTTATGTCAGAACCCCTCTTCTTATTATTAGTACAGTCTAAGTACCACTCACTGATATAGTCCCTTTCTCTGTCTTGAGTTCTTTGCCATTCTTCTGGTTGTCATACTGGTCCTTTTTATCTCAAGGTGATGATATTCGTGGGAGACATACAGGGTTAGTTCTGACTGCAATTATTGAGCTGGAAACAACCAATGCTCCTGTTCTGCTGATTTACATGCTGCTTGGAGAAAGTGACCTTCCTCCTACCATTCCTGTCTTCTCTTCTAATCCTTTCCCCAGTCTTAAACATTTTTTTGAAATCCTGAATAGGAGACCATAGAGGCTTTTAATTGTAATACTATTGGAGCCATAAAGGAGAATATGAAAGAAGGTTGCAGGTGAAGAAGTGGGATATGATGGTTCTGCCATTGTATCACTGTGTCACATTGGGCAAGTCACTTAGCTTTCTGACCTTCAATTTGCTCATGTGTAAATTTGAGATAATACCTTTCTTACAAACCTAAGAAAATTGTTGGGCAGAGCACATGAAATAGTGGACTTGGAAGGGACTATGATGGTGCAGCCACAGCTGTTTATCAGCTTGTTTGCTCTCATCCTCTGGCCTGGGCTTCTTCACCGGGAAGTGAGTCCATAACAGAGGGCTGTTTGCTCTTTTCATAATCTTACCAACTGTAATACAACAAGCAGAGACATTACCTCATTGTGGCCAAGCATACTTGTTTTCTAACAGCAATTACTCAAAAGAGTTCCACTTCTCCTCCTGTGGCTTTCAATCCCTCATCACATCTTTCTCTCATTTCCTCCACTCTTAGGCACAAAGCCTCTTTCCCAAGGGCTCATCTCAAGGCACTTTCTTCCCAAGTTTTAACATTCCAAGGTAAGCACCTGCAATTTATGATCTCTGGTCTCTTCCTGCACAAAACACATAGCACACAATACATATGTATCAGGAGGGGAATTGCAGTGGAGTGGAAAAAGAGCATTATATTAAGACTCAAATAACTAGCCCTTTACCCTTGAGTAAATCACTTACTCTCTGTAAGTGATGGTGGAGGGAGGAGTAGTTAGCACTTTGTTGTAGAAGAGTACTGGCCTAGGAATATGAAGATTGGGTTTCTTATTCTGATGTTGTTGCTTGCTAATTTACTCTATGATTTGGGAGAAATCATTTCCCCCTTTACCAGGCTATACTCCCATATATGTAAAACAAGAAGGTTAAATTAGGTGATTCATTAAGTTCCCTGCCAGCCTAGAAATTGGATGCTTTGTGAAATGAGTTTCATTAAATAAACATGACTTGGAGTGCCTTATCTGTGCCAAGCACTGTTTGATGATGGTTGCGAAAGAGCTCATGGCTGGGCAAATTCCCTGAGACCTTGAGTACAACTGCTACTCACTCCTGATATTGTCACACAGTGGTACTGTGTTGGCCCCACAGATCCAGTTCCTGAACTTTTCTTGCCATGAGTCTCCCACCCCTGAACCTCTCTCCCACCACCTGTAATTTTAACCAATGTTGATGAATTATGGAGAAGTCTCTGAAACATACTCTACCATCTGCCTGCTGGAGACATTCACAGAACTGTCATCAAGCTGCAGTGTGGTCTCTGGCTGCCATAATTGAGAAATAGGCCAGAAAGCAAAGGCAGATGAATGGAGTTGGGAGGGAAGTGGTTGGTTTTTGTCAGAGGAGTCTGTTAAAGCCATTTGTGAGCTGGACCAAGGAGATTAGATCTTAAAAGGCTCTCAGCACCTTGAACCTGAGATTATGTGTTCCAAAGGCACCTTGAAAATGTCCTTACAGCTACATATATGTTCTTGCTCTCAGGCAAGGGTTACCTGATTCATTTCAGAAAGATGAGACACTTTCTTGATTATATTCAGCAAAGGAAGATGCAGCTTTTCTTAGTAGCTTGTATAGAGTTAAACAACCCTGACTAGTTAGAAATTCCCTCCCATTTTGATTTTGGGAGAAAATGACTGAAAGATGTTCAGTAAGCATAGGGTATGAGACTAAGCACCCCTTATTTTATTCTACCCATTTCAACATGGTTGATGTATTCCCGTGAAAAGCCAACATGAATGCACTATTGGAAATTCTACTTAGGTCGCATGTATACATACTGCAACTCCATGGTGAGTTCTTCTTCCTTCTCCTTTGAAGTAGGGGCAGGCCCTGTGAGTTGTCTTCCTTCTTCCTTCACTCACTGCAAATAACTTGGTTCCTGACCTTCTTGAGTTATTGTTTTTTTCCAGGCCTTCAGGCCAGCAAGACCATTCCACTGGAAACTGGGGCTCTCTGGGCAGCCTGAATTTCATTAAGGCTTCCCTCTGGCTACTTGTTCCATGCTGGATGTTAAGAGTTAAAAACTGTCTGATCAGGCTGCATTTGATTTAGCAGAGCAGTAACTCATTCAGTTCTATGGTTTTTTGTTTTTTGTTTTTTTTTTTTCATTGCAGCCTAGGGACCATAGAACTCTGAATCATGCACAAGAAAGAAAATATGGGAAAAGTGCTGGAAAGCAGAATCCCATAAGGACCTAAATGGTCCTCGAGAGAATAATCTTATCCAGAAGCAAAGGCCAAGTGGCAGTACTGGCCAGCCAGATGAAAAATAGGCCAATGGAGCCTACATGATAACTTTCTGCATTTGGTGCTATGACCCAACTCATTTCCCCATCCCTGCAGAGAAACCTGGGACCATGAGGAGCAGCCTAACCCTGGTGGGGATCCTCTGGGCCTTCCTGTCTCTTGTTACTGCTGTGGCCAGTTCTACCAGTTACTTTCTGCCTTACTGGCTCTTTGGATCCCAGCTGGGGAAGCCAGTGTCATTCAGCACATTCCGGAGGTGCAACTACCCTGTGCGGGGCAAGGAGCGCAGTCTGATCATGGTGGAAGAATGTGGGCGCTATGCCAGCTTCAGTGCCATCCCAAGCCTTGCCTGGCAGATGTGCACAGTGGTGACAGGTGCTGGCTGTGTTCTGCTACTCCTGGTGGCACTGGCTGCTGTCCTGAGCTGCTGCATGGAAGAGCTCATCTCCAGAATGATGGGACGTTGCATGGGAGCAGCGCAATTCGTGGGAGGTAAGACTATGTTGGCTGAGATTGGGTTGGCTGAGATTTGGGGAGTGAGAGTGGGGAGAGAATGGAAAGTGTTGCCTTATGGGAAATCTACTCTCACCCCCTCCCCTATGTCCAACTCTAAGGCTACATATGAAAGGCGACTCCTTTGAAACACTTAGTCTAGGACTTCCCAAAGTACAATCTATATCAGGATTTTATTCACAGAAAAATCGGTTAGTAGGCAGAGTTGATATCTGCTTTTTTAGCCTCCATTTTCATCACTTTCTATCTGCCTGCAGGGTGCCCATTTAAGAATGTAATCTAGATCGGCTTTCCAGAAGCAGCAACACATACTCTAATAGTACTGCCCCAATAAACTTGATCTTTAAAAGCCCTAATCTCTGGTAGTTATCTCAGAGGACAGTGATCTAATAAACACATACACACAGGTGCTAATCACTAACAAGAGTTTAATGCACAGTCCTCACCAAAGAAATACATCTCTAACAGTGAAATGCTAGGTACTAGACAGACTGTAGGTAGTGGCTTATTTGGCCTACATCTAACGCTAGCCCTGTCTGGTAGCCATTAACAGTCCATCTAGATTTCTTATGGCCCTATTCCATCCTACTTATCTTTTCCCTCATTCAGGCTTCCTCTAAATTAGTGAAGATGATCTGGAATGCTGGCAGTGTATGAATGGGCTAGAAAAGAACAAATGCAAAAATGTCAAACTGCAGGAAGGCAATGAGAAGAGTTTCTTTTGAGCAGTGTAAGGGAAAAAAAGTAAGTGTAGATAAATAAGTAAATATATGTGTGAATATGTCAGCTAGTGCATTAACCTGGATGGGGCACCGGGAAAAAGTGCTGATAGAAGTTATTGTTGAAGTGTGTTATTGTTCATGACGTTTTGGAATCATTATTCAATTCATTATCATTATCATCTTCATTAGCAGTGCAATGTGGGTGATCAGAGTCCAGAAACTTGGATCTTACTTCTGGCTCTTTAACTAAGTTGTCCTGTGACTATGGGCAAATGACTGTGATGTCTCCTGTGTTCACTTTTCTTGTTTCCTTGAATTTGTTCACTGGTGACATAGCCCAGATCCTAATTTTCTTTCTTCTCTCCAATGACTATGTTAAGGTGTTCTTGGATGAGATGGTAGTGATGAGCAAAAACTGTAGTTCTCAATGAGGGCTGAGTTTTCACTCCTTCTCCTGGGGACATTTGGTAATGTTTTTGAGACATTTTTGGTTATCCCAACTTGAGGATAGTGCTACTGACATCCAGTGGGTAAAGGCAAGGGATGCTGTTAAATATCCCATAATGCACAAGAATAAGACAGCTCCCCCACCCCCAACAGTGAAAATGTATTTGGCCCAAAATATCAATAGTGCCAAAGTTGAGAAACCCTGCACTAAAGGTATCTCATGGTTTCCTGGCCTGCTGATGAAAAGCAACAGAATATTTTTATTGAATCACAGTTAAGGTAATGTTTCCAGGTTTTCTCTTTCCTCAGACACATTGTAAAACTTTTAAATCTGAATTAACATTCTAGTCTCCCTTACCTCTAAATTTTTTCACCCATTAGCTACTAATAGTTTTCTGGCCATATTGGAAAATTATCTTAGTTTTTTTTCTTCCCCTTACAAACCATGGTATAGACCAGTTACTAAAACTAACCTAAGTCAATGACTTAATCTCCCTTTAGGGGCTCCTTCGATATCACAAATGAACTTTAAGCAGGCTCACTTTTCGATTACCTGGCAGGAGTAAAGGATGGCCCTTGAAACTCATATTTATAGCTCCAGGGCCCAGCTCAGTGCCTGGCACAGAGCAGATGTTTAGTAACTATAGAAAGAATGAAAATATGGCTGAGGAAAAGGCTAGTATATGTTAGGATAAGATAAACATATGAGAGCTAAGTTCATTCACATCCTTTCCTTTTATTTTCAGCCTTCCATTCAAAGGTGTTAGCTTTCTGAGTTCTCTTCTCTTCTGACTTGAGAGTAACAACTTAGCCTCACTTGCCTTTCTAAGAATTTCTGGCAGAGAGTGAGGAGGTGTTAACTAGTAGGAATTAGAAGGGCAGTATCAGACCAGTATCAATCAATAGGCTCCATTAGGCTCTAAGCATTAACAGCCCCCAGTGTCAGGTGACTTCCTATCTTTGGCTTGGCTGAGACTTTTACAAAACCTTTATGGTTCTCCATATGACATAATTTAATTGATCCCAACTCCTAGGAATAGACTTAAAGGAAATTGTTAAGAAGAGATGTGGGTAGGTAATGGAGATTTAGACACTCATGGACTGAGTGAAGAACTTTGACTGAGTGGAAGGTGTCATACAGAGGAAGTCAAATTATCAGTGCCATTTCATTTTATATGATTCTGCCATTCTGTATTTCTCATTGACCCTGTTCATAGGAACATGGTCACAGTATTCACACTTACATGAAGGTCTATACAGTTCAAGAATAAAATGCCATTTGACAGTAGTCAAGGAAGGAGTCAAGATCTAATGTGTGCTACAAGATTTATCCCTGGGCAAGGGAATCGCATGGGACGGATTGCTAAATTTCCACAGTTTCCACATTTGTAACACCAGCCAACAAAGAGTAATTCCTACCCCTGTTTTAGAAACTGATGCCTGTTAAGGTTTCATAAGATGTAAAGAAATGGTGAAGACTGCCTGGATGTATCAAATATTCTAGGAGCCCTTTGGCACATGATCATTTCCCAAGGCTCTTCAGAGAGCTCAGATCTGACCCCTCAGAGACAGGCTCTGCTAGTGGCAGGCAGCCAAGCCTGAACAGCCTTTTGAGCTCAGTGGATGTAAGACACGAGAGAAATAGCTGTGGGGGTTTAGTTTAAGCTTGTTCAGCTGACAGGAATCGATTTTGTTCTCTAGGCCTGGCTGCTTCTCGGCAGCTAGTGCATTAACCAAAATACATTAGGAGGAGGAGCCAATTGTTTCAGGTCTGGTTTATCTCTGCCAGACCCCAAACCACTGAAGAGATGGTGTATCCATTAATAACTACCTCCCTCCCCCTGCTTGACTCTTGTTCCCCAATTTGGCGGCTTCCCACAGAGATGAGCTGTGGGAAGTGGGAGAGACAGGAAGAAATAAAGAGCTGCTTGTCTGAGTCATACTCAGAAAGGTGACCTGATGGGACCCTTGGGACCCATTTGCTCCACCTGCAGCTGATCCTGCTGGACAAACCTAGGGTCCAGAAAGCCTTCCACTGGGACCTTCATGACCTGTTCCAAGCAGTGAAGGAAACATCTGGCCAGGAGATTATTTCAACCATGGAGATACTGAGGTTTCCAACCAGCTAGCCCCCAGTCCCTGAGAACGGGGTCATTATTCACATTCTCCTGTGTATACATATGCAAGATGCTTGTGAATTATCCTCCAACTTCAGTGAGAGCTAAACAAAGAAGAACTAGGTAAGAAATAAATATAAGGAACTTCTTGGCAGGAAAAAGTGTAAGATCTTGTATTGGGTTTCTTGTGGGAGGCCAAGAATCTTTCTAGAGTAAGGAATGTATCAGAATCACCTGGAGTACTTAAAAATATGGACTGCACAACTCTTCAGTCTCCTTTTCCATTCTGATATACACAGCAACAGATGGAAGGCTGTGTATTTTGAAAAATCTCCCTAGTGACTCTGATGTGTATGTTAAGGGAATACAATTCAATACACTCATATAGGCACCAACATTTTCCTCCATGTAAGTTCCTAATGCTACATGCTTCAAGCTGGATGAAAAATCTACTAGAAACTGATCACTGAGAACTTGAATCAAGGAAAGGTTATTGTTTTTCTAAAAACTATTATCTTCTCTGGAAACCATTCATTTCCTGGAAAGTCTTCCAAAGTTTCACCAGGCATCATTTAAGTTATCCTTATCATGCTGAACAAGGATTAGAAAAGTGGCTTTCTGTTTGGGAAACTGGTATTCAAAGAAGTTAACCTGCCAGCAAAGATTCATATAGTAAATCAGAGCAAAGCAGAGAATATGGTCCAGGACTTCTGATTCTCAGCTCTGGGCTTTATTCACTGGTGCTATTGATTTTTCTTTTTCCTGTTAGAGAAAAAATGTTATAACAATGTTTTTCAGAGTGGTCTATGAACTACTCGTATAAGAATTGCCTGAGGTGCTTGTTAATGTAGATTCCTTAGTGCCATTCTAAGTCTACTGAATCAGAACTGATTCCTGGAACTCTGCATTTTACACAGCCTCTCACACTGATTTATTTTTGATACTATAGTATGAAATATTTCTGATATATATACCACTCAGCTTAAATAGAGTATTACCAATACTATTGAAGTCTCCTCCATACCCTGATCATATTTCTTTAATCTGATCATATTTCTATAAATAACAAATCCAATACCTCACAGCCAAGGTATTGGATTTGTTATTTATCATTCCTCAGCAGATTCCAGTACACACTAAAGTTTGAGAACCTCTGCTCAGTTTTGTTATATTGTTGCTTTTTTATGGAAGTTCCTTTTCTCCCACCTCTACCTGTACATAAATATTTATTTCTTTCTCAAAGGCCAGGTCAAATGTAGTTTCTCTGTGAAGCCTCTCCTGATGTACTTTAGAAATCTCTAGCAGAAGTGAACTGTCTTACAACTCTGACAGAAAATATGGAATCGAATGAATGGGAGAGTTGTGTGGGAGAGTTCTATGGGAAGGGAAAGCTGATATATAGCTGGGGGGAAGATATAAATTTTCTACTGTGTTTGAATTGAAGATGCTACTAGAGCAATAAATTGAGCAAGTTAATAACAAAGTAACTCACACTAGGCTTCTGGTCAGGGTAGTAAATTCAAACTACCTAATAACCGTATTTGGACAGATATTTGGATATGAGGTAGAGCAATGGCTGCAAACTGCAAAGTTGCACTTGTGAATGGAAAGGGGGTATGAAAGGGGTTGGTAACACCCAGTGAGGAGGCTTTCTCTGCCTAAGACAAAAATTAGGCATTTGCCTAATTGAGAATGTGCAGTTGTGAGGGGTTATGCAGCTCTTTCGATGGGAAAGTAATAATCTTGACTGCAGAGGAAGTTTGAGGGGAGCTGGGAAGTAGCTGTAAGGAGGCTTCCAAGTTCTGTCCAAGATTGTGCTCCTGAAGGTTCGTATTGGTGTTGAGGTTGCCACAAGTTGCAGCTGAGTAAAGTGTTCAACTCCAGGCTTCTGCCTGGTCAGAGCAGTGAATTCAAACTATAGCAACCATATTTGAGGAGGACATTTGGTATATTTTGTGATAGGGGATTCTTGTGGAAGGAGCAGTTGAGGAATGAAAGCAAAGCAGCAGCCCACTGGTTACCTGCACATGTGCAGTTAGAGAGTGAGAATGGTAATATACTCTAAAGGGCTTTCTTTCCCTTTCTAGAGGCAGGTAAGAATAAGAGAGTACCCAACTGAACATATGCAGTTGGGATAAACTTCTCCAAAGGGCATACATAGTTGGAGGAGCAGTAAAACAGGGAGTTGATGATGACACAGAGAAGTGGGAGCCAGGGCTACAGATCATATGTGGCAGGGCTTGGATTTGAACTAGTATTCTCTGACACCAATAGCTCTTGCTATTAATATTTTTAGTGGTGTTTTTCTTAAGTGTTGGTACCAGGACCAGATGCATCAGAATCACTAGGGTGCTTTTCAAATGCATATTCCTGGGCTACAGTTACTGAATCAAATATCTGTGGATGAGACCCCCAAATCTACATTTTTAACCAGCCCCCACTCTTCAAGGTGGAAGAGCCAGGCACATGGCAAATGAATTTCATGTTGCTATTTGAGGCACATCTTCACAATCCCAAATTGATGAGAACTGCTGGGGACAAATGTAATTGAGAATAAAGTCCCCTGTGACTTCATTTTTTAAAATATGTCTCCCAAGACATCTTTCTTCAGCTATGATGAAATGTAATGGAATCATCTCTCAATTGTAGGTCAAATTTGTCCATAAATTATGTTTACAACCTATTGTGCTTACCTGTCTAAATGTCAAGAGGGAGAATGGAGGATGGGAGGGGTGGTAAGGCAATTTGGGCAGAGCATGGAACCACCTGCACTGAGGCAGAAGACATGCCCCAGAGATTCCTGGCCTCTGGCCTGGTGCCTGTGAAACATTGAAATATAAGCACTCCAAACAGGCAGCTTTTAAATGGAACCCCGTTCAGCTTTTGACCTTTCAGCCATTTGTTATGAGGACAAAGAGGCAGGGAAGACATTAGCATGGAGAGTATAGGTAGAAAGTGAGAAAGGAGCTATAGAGAGAGGCTACTGTTTAATAATAATCTTTGTTGAGCATTATCTATTTCTCAGGCACTTTATGATTATTACTTCTTGAAATGGCCCTGTAAAATTCCTGGTACCTGCTAGAAATATTATTGCCAAAAAGTGGTCATTTCTAGGCACCTGTCTCTGGAAGGATAGAATTTCTAAGGGTTGATGATCTCTCTAATCAATAAGAAAAAAATGTTGTCAGAGACGAGTTATATGGCCTTAGGTAAATCGCTTTCCCTCTCTGGGCCTCAACATCCACATCTATAATGGGGGAGGGATTGGAGCAGGTAATCTCTAAAGGCCTTTCCCTCTCTCAGATTCTATGGCTGTATCAGCTATCAATGATGATCTGCCATCTCTGCCATGGATATCCCTTCGGAAGACTTCTCCCTTGGATAGTGTGGGTGAAGGAAACTGTTGGTTAAGTAGGCAGAGCACACAGTCAAACAGATGCATTTACTGAACACTTATTATGTATCAGGTACCAACAATACACAAATGAGGATAAATGTGGCCCCTTCTTTCAAGGAACATACACTCTAGTGAGGAAAGCAGATAACAAACAGTTGTGAAGGATATATATCACAGGATATTGTAATCACAGGAGGAAGCGCAGGGTGCTATGGAAAGAAAAAGAATATATAACTTTGCTGGGGGGTTAAAGATGGTGAGAAAAGGCTTCCTGGAGAAGGAACTCCCTGACCTGAGCTCCTCAGCATGGTTAGGTCTAAGGAGCAGGGGGGCTGAAGAAGGTGGGAGGTTCCCCTTGCCATGTAAAAAAAAAAAAAAAGTCATTTGGCCTGCACTATTTCCTGCTTGAGAAGCCAGAGTTCATGCCATTCCCAGAGATCTGAATGTGGAGGCTGGAAAGCCGAACTGCTCTCCTTTTATAAACTTGTGTTCTTTCCTTCCTAGCTGGTGTAAGAAAGTTCACTTTTTATTAACTCTTCCCTCAAAAGGCATACCCTGGAAGCAGAAAAAGGCTTAAGTTTCATCTTCGATTTTGTCCTTAACCCATTGTGTATACTCTGGGCTCACACACTCTCGCTCATACCTCCTCATTGTAGGATTTCAGTTATCTGTAGTGAAAATAAAAAGTGGGAAAGTGTTGTTGCATTGCCACTGGAGAAATTCCAGAGCCTAGGAAATTATTTGAGTGACCAGTTCCATTTCCTTTAAGACTATGAGACAAATAAGAATACCTTCTAATTTAAGCATTCCATTGAAGGGAATTTCTAACCTTAATTTGTCATTTTGATTTAGTGTCTAAACTCTTTCTCACTGTAAGAAAGTTCTCTCTGTTCTCTTATTTAAACTCTTTCTCCTATTTCCTAAGCTTTTTGCCATTTTCTCTCGCCTCACTGAGTATCAAAACCTGATGGTCGTGTTGCAGACAAGCTTACAGAATGCTTTGAGATTTTCTTCCAAAAGGATTCATCTGAAGGCAAAGTGGGCTTATGAGCTTCTCGGAGTATATATGGAATTTTCCTCAGTGAAGTAAAGGCAAAGCCAGCAGTCCTTGGAGCAGTCTGCTTTTTACTGTTCAGCTGAGCCCTATAGCTCTGAAACCTATAAATATGCCATTCATTCACCATTGGTCAAGCACCTGCTCTCTAAAGGTTCTGTGTTTTATGTTAGTTTCTGCATCTGCATTCGTGGCAGGTGACCATCCCATGACCTTTGATGTAGCACCCAAGTATAATGTTCTTGTAATTAAGCTCTCTTGGTTGCGAGCAGGAGACTCTCTTGAGATCTCTCAATGAAAAGGGAGTTTATTGTAACATAAGGAAAGTGAACTTGAAAACAATTGGGAAGAATTGAATTCTCTCTAGCTCTTTTATGGACAGTGTGGAGTTTGTCCTCATGATATGCTTGCTTCATGCCACTGTATTCTTTCACTCTACCAATCAATTGTCTCAGCTTACCCAGAAGTGATGTCTACTCATAACTTTAGATTGAACTTGACTGTAGCTCAACACAGACTCAGCTTAACACAGACTTGGTTCTACCTCCTGGTGTTTTTTTTTTTTTCCTCAACTTCTGCTCTATCTGCTAACTAGTTCAGTATCTCTATGTTTCTCGATTAAAATTTTCAGAAACAAGAATCTTGCTCAGCTCATCTGTAATGCCAGGTTATGATGTCACCTGTTACTGGTCAGCCAATGAATTTGCTTGCTATGTCTCAGATGCCAGTGCTTGGTCCAATCCACTGTCACCAAAGGCACGGTGGGGAGGGGGAGATCCAAGTTTCTAAAGTGTAAACCTAGGCAGCAAGCAAGAGTTGTGGATGAGGCAATTGCCCTTAACAGGTAGTGTTGGCAAGCAGACCCAGATTTGTATCTCTGGTCAAAAGAGTAGGTTATCACTAAGATCCCACAAAATTTCCCTGTAGTGACTAAATGACCTAAACAAAGTGGAGATGAAGTCAAAGGGCACATTGGAAGGTGTTGAAAGCTGAAGAAAGGGAACATGCTTAGCATGAATTTGGAATGATTTCTAAGAAAAAGAAAGTATTTCTGGACAAGGGAGTCTGGTGCCCTGCTCTCAAGGAGAAGCCTGCTCAACATGTATGCCTTCTGTAGATCTCAATCTGGCAGCTTATTAGGAGTTACAGAAATCATGATCTACCTTCAACTGCCAGGGATCTACTTGACTCTTAGAAAAGGCTGAATTTTAGGAAAGAGTAGCAGTCTCTACATTGTGATTCTTTATAAATCAGATCAAGATAGAAGAGGAGTCTGGTTAGAGAGGTCAATTTAACTTTGTAAGTCATTTTGGAAAATATTTCGGCTGTAAAAAAGTACATTGACCTGTCTCAATTCCCAGTACTGCCCTTTATGAGTTGTTTCTTTTAATACCACTGCAACTTACCACCTATGGCATGGCAAAGAAATCCTGTTGATTTGGTAGTGTCATAGACATTTGGGGTAAAAGGGGAGAGGCAAAATCTGAGTGGAGGAGGAAGAATCTGAGCTAAGTGAAAACAGAGGGAATTTGGGGGTAACAGGAGACCTATTATAATTTTCTACCTGTGTGTGTTTTCTTTCTAGGGCTGCTGATAAGCTCAGGCTGTGCATTATACCCCTTAGGATGGAATAGCCCAGAGATAATGCAAACATGCGGGAATATCTCCAATCAATTTCAGTTAGGTAAGGTGGCCTGGGCATTATGGCACTGGCGGTTCATTGGGAATCTGTTTTTTAAAGTACTTCACCTCTTGGATGGGCCTCTGCTTGCTAGAGGTGCTTACCTGAATCTCTCTCATTATGTTAGCTTGTGAGAAGCGGTGGCTTGACCAGATTCAACTGGCCTTGCTAACTCATAAGTTGTGGACATAAATTCCACTTATTTGACTATGTCTCTCCACACCCTTTATGCACTTTGACCCAGAGTCCTGTGACCAGTTTGGGACAACCCTAGCTACAGATGAATTTCAAATGCTTGGGGGCCGATGATCTGTCATCCTCTGAATAAATCCTGATTCCCATTAGTATTTCCTTCTAGAGAGATTTCCAAATATAAATCAATAGTATCTCTTCTCATATTCCACTGCAGATATAACAAGAGGTAATTGGGTTTACATCAAATATTAGGAAGCTAGGTTATATATTGGGAATTGTTACTGGCATGTTAAAGGCAAAAGCTGTTAAATATTAGATGATGTGACAGAAGAAATTCTTTTTCTTTAAGCTTATTGGGGTAACATTTGTTAATATAATTATATAATTTTCAGGTGTACATTACAATTTGATATCTATATATTCTATATTAGCACCCAGAGTGCAGTTTCCTTAAGCTAACATATATTTGATCCCCTTTACCCACTTTCAACTTTGGCTTATTTTGCTTAGCATGATTATCTTGAGGTCCATCCATGTTGTCACAAATGGCAGAATTTCACCTCTTCTTATGGCTGAGTAATATTCCATTGTATATATGTACCACAGCTTCTTTAGCCAATCATCTATTGTAGGACACTTCGGTTGCTCCCATGTCCTGGCCTCTGTGAATAGTGCTGCTATGAACTTCGGTGTGCAAATATCTTTTCTAACATGGGCTTTCAAGTCTTTGGGGGGATTGCTAGTAGAGGGATTGCTAGATGATATGGTAGATCAATTCTTACATTTTTGAGGAACCTCCATATTGTTTTCCATAGTGGCTGTACCAATTTGCAGTCCCACCTGCAGTGTATGAAGGTTCCTTTTTCTCTGCATCTTCTCCAACATTTGTTATTACTTGTACTGTTGATTATAGCTATTCTAACAGGTGTGAGATGGTATCACATTGTGGTTTTGTTTTGCGTTTTCTTAATAGCTAGTGATGTTGAGCATCTTTTCATATATTTGTTGGCCATTTGTATGTCCTCTATGGAGAAGTATCTGTTCAGGTCCTCTGCCCATTTTTTGATTGGAATTTTTGTTTGTTGTTATTGAGTCATATGAGTTCTTTGTATATTTTGGATATTAGACTCTTATCGGAGGCATTGCACGCAAATATATTTTCCCATTTGAATGGTTGTCTCCTTACCTTGTTGACAATATCTATAACTGAGCAGAAGCTTTTTAGTTTGATGTAGTCCCACTTATTTATTTTAGCTTTTACTTCTCTTGCCTTTGAGGTCAAATTCATAAAATCCTCTTTAAGTCCAAGGGCCTTGAGTTTAGTTCCTATGTTTTCTTCTATGCATTTTATTGATTCTGGTCTCATATTCAGGTTCTTAATCCATTTTGAGTTAATATTGGTGTGTGGTGATAGACAAAAGTTTAGTTTCATTCTTTTGCAGGTGACCTTCCAATTTTCCCAGCACCATTTATTGAAGAGGTTTTCCTTTCTCCACTCTATGTTTCTGGCTTTTTTTGTCATAAATTATTTGCCCATATAAATATGGGTTTACTTCTGGACGCTCAATTCTGTTCCACTGGTCCGTGTGTCTGTTTTGCTGCTAATATCATGCCCAATTGATTACTGTCGCTTTGTAATATAATTTGAAGTTGGGCAGAGTGATGCCTCCAGCCTCATTCTTTTTTATCAGGATGGCTTTGGCAATTTGGATCTTTTATGCTTTTATACAAATCTGATGTTTTTTTTTGTTCTGTTTCTTTAAAAAATGCTGATGGGATTTTGATGATAATTGCATTAAATCTGTATAATGCTTTAGGTAATATGGTCATTTTAACTATATTAGTTCTTCGAATCCAAGAACACGGAATATCTTTCCATTTCTTTGTATCTTCTTCCATTTCTTTTAATAGAGTCTTGTGGTTTTCATTATATAGATCCTTCACATGTTTCATTATATTTATTCCTAGGTATTTTATTCTTTATGTTGCAATTGCGAAAGGAATTACTTTTTTCTACTTTTTTTCCGATGCTTCATTATCAGACTATAGGAACGCTATGGATTTTTGAATGTTGATTTTTATATCCAGAGACTTTACTGTATTTGCTAATTGTTTCTAGTAGTGTTCTGGTGGAGTCTTTAGGATTTTCTATATAGAGAATCATATCATCCACAAATAGTGACAATTTGACTTCTTCCTTTCCTATTTGGTTGCCTTTTATATCTTTCTCTTGTCTGATTGCACTTGCTAGGACCTCCAATGTTATATTGAATATCAATGGCGATAATGAACAGCCTTGCCTTGTTCCTGATCTTAAAGGGAAGATTTTTAGTATTTCACCATTAAATATAATGTTGGCTGAGGGTTTGTCATAGATGGCCTTTATTATGTTCTATACCAATTTTGTTAAGTGTTTTGATCATAAATGGATGCTGTGCCTTGTCAAAGGCTTTTTCTGCATTTATTGATATGATCATATGATTCTTAATTTTTACTTTATTTATGTGGTGTATCACATTAATCAATTTGTGTATGTTGAACCATCCCTGTGCCTCAGGGATGAAGCCCACTTGATCGTGGTGAATAATATTTTTA